CTGTAATCCCAGCTCTAAAAAGTCTGATGTCCCATGCTTAGGCCCCCTCCAAACACATAGTTCTGTTGTTGTTTTGAGACAGGGTCTCTCCATATAGCCCTGCCTGTCCTGGAACTCACTATGTCGACCAGGCTGGCCTTGAACTCACAAAGACCCACCTGCTTCTGCCTCCCGAGTGTTGGGATTGAAGGTGTGCACCATCACTCCTGAAACACATACACATATTCTTAAAAATTAATCCTAAGGCCGGGAGTGGTGGTGTATACCTTTAATTACAGCACATGGGAAACAGAGGCAGACAGATATTTGTGAGTTCTAGACCAGCCTGATCTACATAGTGAATTCCATGACAGCCAGGGTTACACAAGGTTACACAGTGTCTCGAAAAACCAAAACTAAGGTAATTAGTGAATAAATACCTGGCATGCAGGGACCCCAGAACCTCTGGTCTTGACCTCCAACACCAAGGAACCAGTCTTGGTGGAACATACCTACAATCCTAGCACTTGGGAGGTGGTATGTTAGGAGTTAAGACTGTCCTCAGAGACAGTGACAGTGAACTTGGGGCCAGCCCCAGCTAAATGGGAACCTGAAGGAAAAGGAAAAAGGAAAATTAATTCTGTGGAAGTGAGTAGAGTTTGGCGGTAGAGTACTTGCCTGTCACGTGGGAGACCCTAACAATGAAAGAATAATGACAAATAAATAGGTTATTGAGGTAGATCAACAGGTAAGGCACATGCCACTTAGGATGATAGCTGGGTTCAATTCCTGAGACTCACACAGTGGGAGAAGATCCCCTCAATCTGTCCTCTGATGCTGACACACACATGGTGGCACCTGTGGCCCCCTACACACATGGAGGTGCCCACGACTACACACACACACACACCAAATGAAATTAAAATGTTGTAAATAAATAAAATCCATTCTGGTCATCACCTCTAATGTAAGGCTTCAGAGTAGCCTTCAGGTTTAAGAAGCATCTGTGAGATCATATGGGGAGCTCCAGTTGTTCATAGAGAAGGGCCCTCCAGGAGGCTCCTTCTGGCCAGATTCCAGTCCTGCCCACTCTTCCCAACCCAGTCATTACAGGGGCCAGGAAGAAGCCCCTGCATTTGTAAGTGCTGAAGCTGCCTCACTGGCCCTCCAAACATCTGAAGGAAAAGCAGTTTGTTAATTGCTGTCTAGACAGTTTATTGCGGCAATAAGATCAAAACACAGAACCCTGAGGCCTGTGGTATGAGCCATGCAGACTAAACAATTGTTTTATTGCATTTACAGAGGGCTTGATTTACACTGTGCTGGGCAATAAAATTTCTTCAGGGTTTATCCAAAATCATTTTGCTCTTTTTACACCACCCTGTGAGGATGCCACCTCCCTAGACTATTAAAATGTGGTCTTTGCCTCATCTGCACCCATTTTTATTGGATGTCTTATAGTCATTGAGGGATGTGCCAGGGCCATGCAGAGCCCTTGTGGGGAGAAGGGGGCCTGGATAGGGGTCTGTTTGTGGCCCAGCTGTCATAACTGGTCTATGGGTGACAAACATGTGGACAGTTCCTGATCTGGCTTGGTGGCAAAGATCTTATGGTGATGGTCTCTTCAACAAGTCTGCAGGTTGACATGGACAGCTGGAGCCAGGTGCTTGTTTATTGCTTTGTTGTCCCCCTCCCCAAGTGTGCTGTGTATCTAAGGCTGCCTGGGACATCCAATCCCTTGCCTCTGCCTCTTGGTGCTGGGGGTGTGTCTCTTTGATGCCTCTGAGACTCAGGACACCTGGTCATGCATGCCATGTGGGAGAAGAGGAAGGGGAAGGGCATATATTCATAGTGTCACTCCATTTCTGTGTTCAGGGGAGCAGGGATACCCTCTGCCACATGGAGGATCATAGAACTCATTTACGAATGCCAGGGGAAGCTAAGGCAATAAGGTCAAGAGCTGAAGGCCAAGGCCAGTGAGATGGCTCAGTGCAAAAAGGTGCTTGCAGCTAAGCTTGATGACATGAGTTCAGAAAGAGCTGGCTTCTGCTGTTGCCCTCTACACAGGGGTCACAGCATGCACATATATACATCACATATACATGCACATATATACATCAGCACCATCACCACCACCATCACCACCATCATGACTACATCATCACCACCATCATCAACATCACCACCACCACCAGCAGCATCACCACCATCACCAGCATCATCATTGCCACCATCACTCATTACCATGATTACCATTATCAGCATCACCACCACTACCATCATCACCACCATTATAACCATCACCACCATTATCTCCATTATCATTACCAGCACCATCATTGCCACCATCATGGTTACTATCATCAGCATCATCACCACCACCAAAATCACACCATCACTACCATCATTACCATCGTCAGCATCACCACCACTACCACCATTACCATCATCATCATGATCAGAGTTGAGTTGGAGGCCAGCTATTGCCTACACAGTGAGATTCAGTCTGAAAAACCCAAAGACTGGGGATAAATTGTGCTCAGTGGTAAAGCATTTGCTTCTTATACACTTTTTAAAAAAGATTTATATCATTCTTATTTATGTGCATGTGTTGTCCTTGTAAGAGTATGGGACATGTGTGCTGGTATCTAGAGAGGCCAGAAGAGGGCATCAGACCCTCTGCAGCTGGAGTGTCAGAGGGTTCAACCTACTGACATGGATGTTGGGAACTGAAATTGATCCTCTGAAAGAACCACTAAGCCATCTGCTCAGCCCCTGGCATGCACTTTCTATGCCCTGGTTTATTCTCCAGCATTGGGGGGGGAACCTAAAAATGAAATATTGAGAAATACTGAATCTTTACACTCAGGTCCAGTGCTGTTTGGAGAAATATGCCTCTTGTGATGGTCCTCCTCTTCCCCTTCATCCTCCTCCCCTCCATCCTCCTCCTCCTCTTCATCCTCCTCCCCTCCATCCTCCTCCTCCCCTCCCTCCTCCTCCCCTCCCTCCTCCTCCTCTCCCTCCTCCTCCCCTCCCTCCTCCTCCCCTCCCTCCTCCTCCCCTCCATCCTCCTCCCCTCCATCCTCCTCCCCTCCATCCTCCTCCCCTCCATCCTCCTCCTCCTCTTCATCCTCCTCCTCCTCTTCATCCTCCTCCCCTCCCTCCTCCTCCCCTCCATCCTCCTCCCCTCCATCCTCCTCCCCTTCATCCTCCTCCCCTCCATCCTCCTCCCCTCTTTTTCCTCCTCCCTTCATCCTCTTCCCCCACTCATCCTCCTCCCCTCCATTCTCCTCTCCTCCATCCTCCTCCTCCCCTCCATCCTCCTCCCCTCCATCCTCTTCCCCCACTCATCCTCCTCCCCTCCATCCTCCTCTCCTCCATCCTCCTCCCCACTTCATCCTCCTCCCCTCTTTTTCCTCCTCCTCCCCTCCATCCTCCTCCTTCCCTTCATCATCCTCCTTCCATCCTCTTCCTCCCTTCATCTTTCTGCCCTCTCCTTCCTACTCTTCCTCTTCTTCTTTGCTGGGGAAGAAACCCAGAACAAAGCTGGGGCTGTAGTGGCACACACCTTTAATCCCAGTATTTGGGAGGCAGAGACAGGTCGATCTCTGTGAGTTCTAGGCCAGTCTGGTCTACAGAGTGAGTTTGAGATCAGCCAGAGCTGTTACACAGAGAAACTCTGTCTTGGAACAGAGAGAGAGAGACAGAGACACAGAGACACAGAGAGACAGAGAAGGAAGAACCCCAGGGCAGGTGCTTTGCCACTGAACAGCCCAGCTCTTCTCCTGTATTAGCAGAACCCATGACAATGGTTGCAGCAGATCCCCAGGACTATAGAATTAAAAGGTAATTTTTAAAAAATGACGGGAAAGGCTGTTATGGAATAGAATGTTTGACTATGTAAAGATGTGTTGCTGTTACACCTTGCCTGAAGGCACCTAATGAGTCTAATAAAAATATGCCAGTATTTCAGCAGAGGAGAGATAGGTGGAGCTGGTGGGCAGAGAGAAAGGACAGCCAGCCAGCCAGCTGACATAGAGGAGACAGGAAAGCAGAATGGTCAGTACACCAATGAGGCAAAGGAGCAGCACATAGATTAATAGAAATGTGTTCGTTTACATTAAAGAATAAAAAGCTAGCTAGAAACAAGCCTAAGCTAGGGCTGAGAATTTGTAACTAATAATGTCTCCATGTCATGATTTGGGGGCTGGTGGTCCAAGGAAGCCTGCCACAAAAGGCTGCAGGGATGGCTCTGTAGCTGGAGTTTTCTTTCCAGCCTGGCTCTGCTGCTGCTTCAGCCCCAAATAAACACACAGACGTATATTAATTATAAAACTGTTGGCCGATGCCTAGGGTTTCTTATTGGCTAGCTCTGTCTTAAATATTAACCCATTTCTATTAATCTAAGTGTTTCCATGTGGTCTCACCTTACTGGAGAAGAGTCCAGATCTGTAACTCCTTCCTCGGCTACATGGTGTCTCTTCTTGGCGCCTCTCTCTCTACCTTTCCCAGAATTCTCCTCGTCTCCTAGTCCCACCTATATTCTTGCCTCTATTGGCCAAACAGTGGTTTATTCATCAAACAATAAGAGAAACATATACAGAAGGATTTCCTCCATCATGGCTGTATGGGTGGTATGCTTGATATGCAAACATGAGGGCTTGGGCTCAGCTCCAGCACCTTCAGAAAAGCTCAGTGCCGTCTTGTGCAGCTGAAATCTCAGTGTTGGGGGGAGGGGTAGAGACAGGTGCATGCCAGGGCTCAATGGCCAGCCTGCTTAGCTGAAAAGGTGAACTCTGGGTTCCTCAAGAGGGCCTGTCTCAAAACCAAAAGTGCAGGGTATGGAGAGGTGACTCGGAAGATAAGAGCATGGACTGTTCTTGCATAGGACCTGGGTTTGGCTCCCAGCACCCATATTAAGCAGCTCACAACTGTTTGTTACTCCAGCTCCAGGGCACCTGCTGTCATGTGTAAATAACTCCCCCCCCCATAATTAAAAATTAATTTAAAAAATTACAATATTGCATGTAGAAATACCTCTCCTCATTCTCTTTGGAGAGGATTAAAAGAGGAGTTCTCGGGGCTACCAACCTTACAGTAGAGGTTGAGTGATAGTATATTTCTCCTACACAAAAAGAAAAAAAATTAAAGTAATAGGCAGGTGTTGGTGGTGCACGCCTTTAATCCCAGCACTCAGGAGGCAGAGGCAGTCGGATCTCTGTGAGTTCGAGACCAGCCTGGTTTACAAGAGCTAGTTCCAGGACAGGTTCCAAAACTACAGAGAAACCCTGTCTTGAAACCACTCCCCCCAAAAAAAATTAAAGTAAAAGGTGGAGTGACAGAGTTCTCCTGACACTGACCCTGACCTCCATGTGCACACACATGTATACACCACACACACATGTAGACAATAAAGAATAAAGACACTGGCCATGAGATCCAATTTGTATAACATGGAAAGGATAGCCATTTCAAAGTGGCCATTCTGGGAGTGTTTAACGCTTTTACAGAAGCATGCAGCCTCCATTTCTAAGTCCAAACATTTCCCTAACTCTGAAGGACAGCCGGGGCTCAGTGGGCAGCTGACAGACATCCCCTTCCCTCTACCCACTCCAGCCCCTGGAAACCAGCCACGACAGGTATGATTCTGGGGAGTAATTTCTCCTGGCCATTTCATATAAGCAAAATCACACAGACTGTAAGCACGTATCTATAATCCCAGCACTCAGGGAGGCAGAGGCAGGGAAATCACACACAGTAAGCTCCAGGTCGGTCATCCATGACGATATCATGAGGCCCTGTCTTGGGAAAAGTAAAATAAAAATGTATGTAATGTACAACTTTTTGTATCTGGCTTTCTTGACTTCTCAGAATATTGTCAAAACTCAACCATGTTGTGGTATATATCAATAGCCCATTCCTTCTGATGGTCAAACAATATTCTATTGCATAAGCTGACTTCGTGTAATCCATCCTTGTAGTTGTTTAGTATGAATGACACCACTTGAACAACGTGTGTATGTGTATTTGAGAGTGTGTTTAGGGTTGTTTGTTTTGGGTTGCTGTTTGTTTGTGAGATGGTCTTGCCATATACCTGAGGCTGGCTTAGAACTCACAGAAACTCCTCATAACTCTTTTGTCTCATCCTCTTGAGTACTGGGGATTGTGGGTATAAGAAGGCCACACCCAGCTTTTGAGAAAATGTCTTCAGTCCTTTGCGGCACATACCTGGAAATGCAATTGTCAGGTCATATAGTTGGTCTATTTTCAGGTTTTTTTTTGGGGGGGGGAGGGGAACCAGGCAATTTTCTCCACAATGGTTGCATCATTTTACATTCCTACAAGCTATAAACGTTTCTCCTTCCTCCATAGCCTCACCCAGCCATGATGCTCCCACCCATGTTTCACAGCCTGTGTTTTTGTCTGTTTGGTGCATGTGTGCATGTTGTATGTGGTTTGGGCACACAAGGCAAGCACTACCGCTGAGCTGCCATTGGCTTTTAGTAACAGCCATCCCAGAGGGTGTAGGATGTGACCCCAGGGTGGTTTGATTTGGGTCTGATTCTGACCCTTTGTGAATTGTCTTTCAAAATAGACACCATTCAAACTCACTGCTTACATTCTGACAAGAGTTGTTTGTCTTTTTGTTGTTAAGTTGTAAGGGTTCGGCTGGTGGTATGTCTCAGTGGGTAAAGGTGCTTGCCACCAAGCCTGATGACCTGAGTTCAATCCCCAGGATTCCAGGATGGAAAGAGAGTGCTGACACTCACAAGTTGTCCTCTGATTGCTACACGTGTGGTATGATGCACACACACAAAATACATTTTTTTTTTTTTTTTTTTTAATTCTATCCCTGGCACCTGGGAGGTAGAGACAGGCAGATCTCTGAGACAGGACAGCCAGAGCTACACAGAGAAACCCTGTTTCAAAAAAAGAAACAAAATTGAAATGTGCTGTTTATTTTTGTTGAGCTAGGAATTGAACTCAGGGCCTTGCATTGGTCAGGCAGGTGATCTGGGGGCAAGCTACACCCACAATCCATTTTTTTTTTTTTTTTCTTTTTTTACTTTGAAGTAGTATCCTGCAAGGTTATACAGACAGGCTTCAAACTTGTCATCCACCTGTCTCAGCCTCCCAAGTAGCTACAATGACAGGTCTGTGTCGCCAGGCCTGCCTGTTTATACAATCTATCTACTAGACTCCTCTCAAATACTGGACTTGAAAATATTTTCCCTTAGCCGGGTCTGGTGGGCCACACCATTAATCACCTTGCTCGGGAGGCAGAGGCTGGTGGATCTCTGTGAGTTCAAGGCCCTTTTCTCTTAAATTTCTTTTGTGGGGTGTTTCAGGGTTTCTTTGTGCAGCTCTGGCTGTCCTGGAACTCACTCTGTAGACCAGGCTGGTCTTGAACTCAGAGAGCTCCACCTGCTTCTACCTCTGAGTGGTGGAATTAAAGGCGTGCATCACCACTGCCCAGCACGGGGTGTTTTATCTTAACCGAAAACCAGTACAATAACCATCAGGGAATATAGATAGAGATGTGCATTGACATGCAAAATGGCTGTGACTGTTTCTTGATGTTTTTTTTTTTTTTTTTTTTTCTTTACAGCGCAGGTGGAGAACTCAGTTTACCATCCAACTACAACTACAAGCTCCGTCCTTACCGCCCTCTCTTTCTCTCCTTTTTTTTTTTTTGAGAGATAAGAGTCTAAGTACAATACCAAGGCTGCCCTTGGATGTACTCTATAGCCCAGGCTAACCTTCTTTATTAGCCTTGGCTTTTATTGCTTTTATTGGCTTCTTTAATTTATGTTGTGGCATGAAATGGAATTTGCTCTACCTTGCCTTCCTTTTCTCCCTCCCTCTTACCTAAAAAAAAAAAAAATTATATTAGTGTGTGTGTGTGTGTGTGTGTGTGTGTGTGTATCTACTTGTGGGAATGTATGAGTGCAGGGTTTCCTGAGCTGTAGTTACAGACAGCTATGAGCAGTAACACATAGGTGCTAGGAACCTAATCTCTTCAGTCCCTCTCCCCACTTTTATTTTTAAGATTTACTTTTGGGCTAGGCTGTGGTGGCACACACCTTTAATCCCAGCACTCTGGAGACGGGAAGGCAGATCTCTGAGTTTGAGGCCAGCCTGATCTACAGAGTGAGTTCTAGGACAGTCAAGACTTCTCAGAGAGACCCTGTCTCAAAAAGCAAAGCAAACAAACCATGCAAACAAAAAAGAAGTATTTATTTTGCGGCCTGGAGAGGTGGCTCAGTGGCTAAGAACACCATTGCTCTTGCGGAGGACCTGGTTTGACTCCCAATGTAACGTGGCAACTTGCAACTGTCTGCAGCTCCAGTTACAGGGGCTCTGACGGCCTCTTCTGACTTCCACAAGCACCAGCTCCCACGCGGTGCCCAGATAGGCATGGAAGCAAAACATTTGTGCACATACAATAAATCTAAAACAAATTTTAAAAATAGTCCTATGCTTATTGTTATTTGTCTGTGTGAATATATACCACATGTGCTCTGGTACCCACGTAATCCAGAAGCGGGCATCAGATCCTCTAGGGCTGGAGTTAGAGACAGTTGTGAGCGAGAAATGAACGGTGGCGTGTGAAGGGGAGCGAGTGTTCTTATTCTTACCCTTTCTGCTACCTGCTCAGCCCCTCCCTCGCTCACTTCATTCCTGAATATACCCTGAATATACTGAGCCCATCCAGGTTTGCTGGACCCTAAGTGTATTCTTCCTCAGGTAAAGACCCCAGGTGCAGATCCCATGTGGATCCCCCAGGTAAAGACCCCAGGTAGAGACCCCAGGTGGATTCCCCAGGTAGAGACCCCAGGTGGATTCCCCGGGTAGAGACCCCCAGGTGGATTCCCCGGGTAGAGACCCCCAGGTGGATTCCCCAAGTAGAGACCCCAGATGGATTCCCCAGATAGAGACCCCAGGTGGATCCCCTAGGTGGATTCCCGGGGTAGAGACCCCCAGGTGGATCCCCCAGGTAGAGACTCCTGGTGCAACTACAGACCTAGTCACAAAGGGAGGCAGCTTCCTATGGAAATGGGTAAGAGCACTGGGCTAACTCAGGCTCCCTCTCCCAGATGTTTATACCTGCTGTCTCTCCTCGGGGGTCCTTGATGACATCTGGCCTTTGGAGCCTCCTGCACTAGGAGGCCAATGTATGCTGTTAGAGGCGGCTGGATCCCCACACAAAGGCCCATTGTTTGAGCCTCTCTGTAAACTGAGGCTCTATGAATTGTGGTCCCTGGGAGTCTTCCTCAGCTGTTTGCCTAAGTAGCCTAAGTAGCCCTGGATTTTCTTTCTCATTGTTTTAGACAGAATTTCAACCTCAGGAAAGCAGGAGAAAGACAAAGAAACAACCCAGAAATGTCTGCCTTCCTTGATTTTTTTTTTTTTTTTTTAATGAGAAGGGATTTTGATTGTTTTTGTTCTTTGTAAAGCACCTAAGCCATTTTCAGATCTTTTGGGGAAACAGGTTTTTTTTCCCTGTCGCTGGGTTCACATACGACCATGCTTTCTCTCAGCCTTGGAGATGCCAGGAGATGTTCTGAACTTGACCTGAGTCCCTCCATCCCATCCGCCACTCCGCTCACTTTTGTTGTTTAGTTTTATTCCAAAAGTGAGAGGAGCCTGGTCCTCCTTGCAGGCTTGCAGGCAGATCAGAGCTGCTGGGGGAGGGACACTGTCTTCAGGGGCGTAGCCACAGGCAAATAGCCCATGCTCCTGTAAGTAATGCTGTATCCAGGTTCATGAAAGCAACCCTAATCAAACTCAGGGGGGTCACACAAGCAGAAGATTTGACATCAGGGAGGGGAAGAAGAGAGAGGAAGGGGAGAGTGGGTAATGAAGGGAGAGAACCCCTAAAATAGATTATACTCACATACGAAACGTTAAAACGGGGAGAAGAGAAGCCTGCATACTGGGTGGAGGGTGAAGGCAGGAGAATTGAAAACTCAAGTGGCTGTGCAGGAAGTTCAAGGCCAGTGTGGGCTGCATTAGACTGGGGGGTGGGGGGAGACAGGCCAAATGAAATGAATTATGTAGGTGTTGTGGATCACACTTTTAATCCCAGCACTCAGGAGGCAGAAGCAAGTGGTCCCTATGAATTTGAAGCC